CAATCTGGGTACTTACACGCCACTCTCTTGATCCAATGTTAGGCCAAATCAGAATATGAAGGTTGTCTTACATTTGTGACGCTACCAATCCCCCTCAATAGGCTCGAGCAATCTTGACCTTTAATATACCCTACTCTCGTAAGTGAACGTCGTGAGATGGGGTCTAGAGAGAAATTGGCGGTTGAGAGACGAGTCTTGGGTATACTAACCCGTGGAGTCCTTGCTTAAACGGTTGCCAAATCTCATACTAGAAATGTATTTACAATGTTGTGCACAAACTCATCAACGCAAGAGCACAAAGAGCATCTCACAAGAACAAGAACCATAGGTTGGGTTTTAAACACTCTTATGCTAGCATCGAATAGGCATAAAATTAACGTTAACCTCAATCTAATCTCAAAACAAAACTACCCACTGATCATATAAGTAAATAACAAAAGAATATCCAATATAACCATCACCAAACAATAAATAAATGATAAACAATGATATTAAACTCACAATAGTCTAAGGATTCACAATCCAAGATAATAAACACAAGAAATGTAGTAATTTAAGCTAGGATAACAATATCAAAGCTAGATAATGAAAATAACAAAGAGGAAATAAAAATAACCTAAATATATAGTTGCCTCTTACTATTCACGCCACTGCCTCCTCTCTCTTATAAATCTGGAAAAAGATTTACTTGTAGTGGAAGAATCAGGGTTTCAGCGCACTGGCCCCGCACGGGCGTGCCACTGCCCGTGCGGGTGCACTGGCAAGGCACGGGAACAGAGTGTCTGTGTGAGAGACGACTCCGGCGGGTGCTTATGCATTGGCGGTGCACGAGTGTGTAACCGCCTATGTGTGTGTTTGCCTCCACACGATGATCTTCAACTTTGCTCCTTTAGTGTGTTTACTTTCCAGACTGCTTCCATGTGATTATTTTGTTTATCCCTTTTCAATGCATTTTTGCCCCGTTTTGATCAACCGTACCATTGCTCCCTTTTGCCTTTTTCCTCTCTCAAAATTGCATTTGGGCGAAAGTGAGCATAAAACACATCTTTTAGCTCAGAAAACCAATGAAACACCTTGAAATGTGCACAAAAAGGGGTTAAGAATGGGGTAAAATAAGAGTCATCAACTCCGCACACTTAAACTGTTGCTTGTCCTTAAGCAACTTTGCTGAGGGCACAATCAAAAGAGACATCAAATGATCATTTAAGGATTTTACTAAAACAACTCTCTAGATAGGTAGGTGTTTAGACAAAGAATCTAAACAATTTTAAGATACCTTAAATATATCTGTAGGTTGAGTAATTATATAAAAAAATCTTTTTGGTTAAAAACTCAACGAAGAAGGCACCATTCTCAACAGGTAAAGCTCACACGCTTTGATTTTAGTAACATGGGTGTTAACCACACTAACCTAAACATGAGATCAAGGTCAAAAGGTCTTGAAAGAGTAAAGTATGAGAGAAATGGTCAACATGGGTTCCAAAAGCCTAGAAGACTCAAACATAGAACAAGAACTTTATCAACTATTCATTCCACAGTTCCAAGATCCTTATTTATGAAGCAATGAATGACATAAGCCTCTCTTATCACTTAATTGCAAGGCTTTTACTCTCTTGATTTTTGCAACTTCTAGAACGACGCCATAGAGAATCAAATTACCTGGCCCCATCAAAGATATAGTTTAATATTTTGAAGTAATCCGAAGCTCAACACTTCACCTTCGAGAGTTGAACTACCCCATCAAAGATAAATTTATCGATTTAGAAGTAATTCAACACTTTGCTCCTACGAAGTTCGTCTCACCCTCTCACAAATTCTAGAGCTTCACATTAGAGAATCTTCTTATATTTAAATATTAACACAATCTTTAATTATTATCTTTAGTATTAGAACTTTATGTATTTGAGTTAGTCTATGACTCCATATCCTAGTCTCCTTATGATTCTCCTTATATATATACATATGATCTGTACCTTTGTAATTACATTCATTCAATACAATTCTATCAGTTGTCATCTGGTATCAGGTAAACTAGAGTTTCTTTCCTATGACTGACGGATCTGTTAACTCCTTGGAACGGACCGTCTCGAATGTCGGTATCTCTTCGGTCACATCGACCGTGAATTCCTTGTCCACCACTCATCACTTTATTAGTATCACACTAACCTATAAGAACTTCCTGTTTTGGAGAGCTCAGGTTGTTCCTTTTCTTCATGGTCATGATTTGATGGGGTTCACTGATGGTACGAACCCGTATCCGCCGGCTTATCTCCCCACCATAGAAAGTGCGCTAGCGCAGCCAGATCCCGCTCATAGAGCTTGGGTTCGACAGGATCAGGCTCTCTTGTCCATGATCATGTCCTTGTTATCCGACGAGGTAATGCCGCTGGCCATCAGACACCACACCAGTGGGACTGTGTGGGAGGCGGTCGTCAATGCGATGGCTTCGTCGTCCAGGTCTCGGTCCTTGAATCTCCTAGGGCAGCTTCAGTTAGGGATGGCAATATGCCCCGTCCCCTTCCGGGGATCGGGGACATGGACGAGGACTTTTTTAAATTCCCCGCCAAGGACGGGGGCCGGGACGGGGATACCCCTCCCCGCCCTGCCCCGTCCTCGATAATTAATAAATAAATAAATATATATATATATATATATATATATATATATATATATATATATATATATATTATTAGGAATTAGGAATTATGAAGTATATTAGGAATTAGGAATTATATTATTATTACTAATATATAATACATTAAAACAGTAAGCAAATTAGCAAAAGCAAGTCTTCAACTCATCTTCGTCGCCCACATACGCACAGCAGGCAGCAAGCACTCCAGGCAGCCAGGTTTTGTCGGTCACTGCCGTAGTTGGTCGCAGGCAGGCAGCCAGCAGTCTTCGACTCATCGTCCGTACTTCGTCGCCAGTCAAAATCCGATGAAGCGTCCCAGTGGCAACAATCTTCGTCCATCACAGCCTTCACAGCCACATGTAAGTGTTTAACAGTTGAAGAATGACTAAATGAAGAGTATATATTGAATGATCATTATGATAGCCATTAATTAGATTGAATGATCAGTATGAGACACCTGAAGACTCTCCCATCGATTTAACTAATAAAAACAATGAAATTGAGGGAGAACCGAATGGTCCGAGTGAACCAAGTTTTGGTTCAAAAAGATTAAAATCTGTGGTATGGGAGCATTTTACCAAAAAGGTAGTTAACGGTGTGGATAAAGCAGAGTGCAATTATTGCAAAAAATTACTTGGGGGCCAAAGTAAAAATGGAACAAAGCATCTTCATGATCATCACAGATCTTGTAAGATGAAACCCATCCAAAACTTGAAACAACAAACGTTGTTACAACAACAGTGAAAGGCGGATGGAAAAATGGGTTTATCTACTTTCAAGTTTAATCCTGAGGTTACAAGGAGGGAGCTTGCTTGCATGATCATTATGCATGAATATCCTCTTGCAATTGTTGATCATGAAGGATTTAGGAGGTATACAGCTAGCCTTCAACCACTGTTCGACATTCCTTCTCGAAATACCGTTAAAGTCGACATTTTGAAGATTTATGAGATTGAAAAATTCAAGATTATAACACTTTCCAACACAAATACAAGTAGGATTGCCTTAACTACGGATATGTGGACATCTTCAAATCAAAAGAAAGGCTACATGGCAATCACGGCATATTTCATTGATAATGATTGGAAACTACTGAGTATGCTTATGAGGTATGTTTCTAGTTTTCTAATTTAATGTCTATAGTTATTTTCACTTTTTATTTATGATACTTTATTTGTTATTATTAGTTGTGTAATATTTTATTTCGTTTACATTTTTAGGTTTATTTATGTGCCTTGTTCACACACAGCTTTAGCTCTTTCTAAGGAATTGTTGAAATGTGTTTATGATTGGAATATTGAAAGGAAATTGTCTACATTGACGGTTGATAATTGTTCTACAAATGATGCACTTGTTAACATCCTTGTAACTAAGCTAGGTTCTTCACATCTTTTGTTACATGGGAGTTTATTTCACATGCGTTGCTGTGCTCATATTTTGAATGTAATTGTTCAAGATGGATTAAAAGTTATGGGTGACGGAATAGAAAGGGTGAGAGATAGTGTTGCTTATTGGTTGGCCACACCAAAAAGGAATGAAACTTTTAGGGAAAATGTGAGGCACTTGGGCATATATATAGTACTAAACAATTGGTGCTTGATTGTAAAACTCGATGGAATTCCACATATTTGATGCTTAGTGTTGCTTTAGAATACACGGATGTTTTTATGCGTTTGAAAGAACGAGATGTTCTCTTTACTTGTGCACCTTATGATGATGATTGGGAGTCTGCTAAGGAAATTTGTGAAAGGTTGATGTTGTTTTACAATGCATCAAATAAATTTTCAGGGGCAGAGTATCCAACTTCTAATATGTGTGAAATCAAGTTTGCTTTGCGTAGTTGGATTTAATGTCCTAATGAGATTATTGCAAATATGGGTAAAAGTATGTTGTTGAAATTTGATAAATATTGGGAGGTAGGTCATGGACTAATGGCTGTGGCTAATATTCTTGATCCGAGATATAAGTTGGATGTGATGGAGTTTTTTTTTCTATAAATTCTATGAAGACAGTGCTCAACAACAAATGGATAGGGTTATGAAATATTGTAAGGATTTGGTGAAAGAGTATCAAAAGGTTCCTCAAACTACCAATAATGTTCAATCTGATTTTGAAATCTCAATAGGGGGTCATTCTGAAGATGAGGTTTTTTTTTTTTTTTTTTTTTTTTTTTTTTTTTTTTTTTTTTTAATTCTGGATTTGATGCATATAAGGGTAGAGGTAATTCTGCAAGGGGTTTGAAATCAGAGTTGGACAAATATTTTGAAGAAGAAAATATGCCAAGAAATGATCCTACGTTTAATGTTTTAGTTTGGTGGCAAAGTGTTGGACTTCGTTACCCAACATTGCGAATGATTTTCAAGGGATATCTTAGGTGTACCCATTTCTACTGTGGCTTCAGAATCAGTTTTTAGCACTGGTGGTAGGGTTGTCACTCCTCATCGAAGTAGGCTTCACCCGAAGACGTTGGAGGGATTAATGTGTTCTCAAAGTTGGTTGTTGAAAGATGCCAAAGACCAAGGTAATCAAATTTTATTAAATGACATTTATATATTGTTTTATGATATTGTATATTACATATGTATTGTTTATTGTAGTGCCCACTTGGAAAGATGCATATGGTACTATTTACGATGATTGTGGGATTAGTCCAGAAGAACTTGAAGACATGGAGGTATATATATTAATTAAACTTTATAACTATTCATGTATTGTGAGAAATGTTTGAACAATTAATTAACTTATTTTGTGTTCTTTCAGATTGAAGAAGAAGATTGTGAAGAGTGAAAAATGAATAATCAAAGGCTTTTATTGTATTGCTATTGCATTTTTGTTGAATGTTAGTTCGTATAATATTAAAAATAGTTGAATGTTAATAGTTGAAAATTATAGCTTTTAAAATAAGACTATTATGACTTTGGATTTCAATTTTTTTCTATTTTATTTTTAAAAATTGTACTAATTTGAGACTTTGACTATAGGTTGACCGGGGATGGGTATTCCCCGTCCTCGCCAAATTCCCCTTGGGGACGGGGACTGTAACACCCCGTGTTACGGACCCTAAAACCAACTGATTAATTAATTAATTAATTAATTAATAACCCAGGAGAAAGAATAAATTATAATGGTTAATTAGGGAAAAAGACCACCATAGCCCATGGGCCCAATTATATAAAACCCAACCCCTAAACCCAATAGGAATAAACTCTAAATAAACCCTTGGATCTATAAATAGGGAACTTAGGGAGCACCTAAAGCCCCCCTCCCACACGCATAAACGCCCATCACCCCAGGAGAGCTCCAAGAATCCCCTTAGGAGAAATCAAGAAAGCAAGAAAGCTTAAAGAAAGATCCTTCATAGCCAAGGAATTAATTAAGGCTAAGAGGTAACCCATGTCTCAACAAAACCTATTTTCATAGCTATGTTTTCCCCTTAGGGTTTTCCCCCATATTGTTGTGAATGGGGAAATTATGATGATTATTATTGATGTTGATTTGATGATTCCATGGGGAATCTTGATAATCTTGATAATTGGGAGTTTCTTGATAATGATGATATTCTTGATGATTAAATTCGGGATCCTTGATGATTATGTGTTGTTCTTGATGATTATGATATTCTTGATGATTAATTGGCATCCTTGATGTTTGTGTGCTATTCTTACCGAATCTTGCAATTAGAAGATGAATCATATTCTTGTTGATATAAAAGCAATTAGAACCCTAGGTTGTATCGTATGATCTTATCCTTGGATTATCGGGTGGGGAAATCGCATGTTTGGGTGTTGATTATATTTAGAAAAGCATGATAGGTTATGTGTCGTTCGTTTCTCGTAATTGATCCGTTAATTGTCTACGTGTTGTCGTTAATTGCGTTGTAAAGTGTCTAAGCATGGCTTCGGGTTCCACAACGGTTCTCGGGGCGAAAAGTGATGAAAAGAGTCAGTGGGGGGTAGGTGGGGGTAGGGGACCTGCCACCTACCCGTGGCAACTCCGGGCAGTTCCAGCAGCGGGCAGCCGGCGGCGGGCAGCTGCCCGCCGGGCACCCGCTGCCCGGAACAGTGCTGGCCGGCGGGTGGACCCCCACCCACCGGCTACCCGCTGGAATTTTTCCCCCCCTCGGGACCCCGGCTTCCCCGTTTGATGTTTCCCCGATCCTCGTGGTGTCCCAACGGACCCCGTTTGTCGTGCCTATGTCTAGTTTGATGTTTCGGGTACCGTTCGTAGGTTTATGAGTCTATTATATTGCATGCTAGTTGAATTGGTATCCCGTTGACCTAGGTGGAAGGAGTATGAACCCCTTAGGACTATTCTTAGTAAGTGATGGATCACGCATAGGTTTTGTTATACGTTTTATCCCCCTTCCCAAGGTGTAATGTGGGTTGCATGTGCTTGCTATGTGTTATGTGTGCGTGTTACCCCAATTCGGTTGCGATCGGATTGGTTATCCTGAGCTGCGGTTCAGAAGCCGGCTATGGTCAGATGGGAATTCCTGGCTATAGTCGGGTTACGGTATCCTGGGCTGCGGTCCAGAAGCTGGTTGTAGTCAGATGGGAATTCCTGGCTGCAATCAGGTGACATCTTTCCTGAGCTGCGGTTCAGAGGCTGGCTGTAGTCAGATGGGAATTCCTGGCTACAGTCAGATAACACACTCTTGGGCTGCGGTCCACTGTTTGGTTGCGATCAAACACTATGATGAGCTGCGGTTCATCGGTCGGTTGCGATCGACCCCTCCGTGTTGCGATACGGGGCAGGGTGCTGCGGGGCCGTGTCAGAGCTATATGCGCTGACCCTCATGTATGGGCATGCGATTGGTCCTGTGGCGCCAACAAAGTGTGCTATGTGTTGTGATATGGATGAGCTGTGATTATGAGTGTCTTGGAGGAATGTGACTATGGGATTTATATTGGGGATTGTTCATGTTGGGTTATGATTATTGTTTATGCCTTGCCTTATCTGCCTTATCTATTGTGAACTGCATATGCTCGTTATAACTGTTGCTTGTGTCTGGCCTTACTTGTCGAGTCATTCCCGGTTTTAAAAGCTAGAGTTCGTAGGATATATCTTCATGCTCAAAATGGTTTTCGTATATCTATATATATCTCTATATGTATTGTATTTCAACGCGTTGGAGTGGGTTACCAGCATCTCTCGCTGAACAGATATATTTGGCTTTCAGGCACAGAGGATTAGAGCACTGGAGCGCGCTAGAACTGGAGCGTAGAAGTAGTATAGTTTCCCTTTTTGGCCTGCGTGCCATGTTATGCATTTATATTTCAGAGGATAGTAGTTAAGCAGCCTGTGCACCCGGGTTCTCTAGCCCAGGTGTGGCATAGCACCCCGTACACTTATGTTACGCTTTGGGATTTAATAAGATATTACCTTTATTATTAAGTTTTAAATGTCTTAAAAATCAGGGGTGTTACAGGGACGGGGAATTTTTTTAATTCCCCGCCGGGGACGGGGACGGGGATGGGGACGGGGTCGGGGTAGCGGGGACGGGGACGGGGAGTATACTCCCCGCCTCGCCCCGCCCCATTGCCATCCCTAGCTTCAGTCCCTTCAACAAGGAGACAGTTCGGTCGCAGGCTACATCGGCAAGGAACGGGTCTTGGTGGAAGACTGACCTCACTCTCGCCGGCCGATCGATTACCCTTGAAGAGCAGAACCTCTATGTTCTCAAGGGTTTACGACCAGAATTTCGCTCTTTAGCATCCTCCCTTAATGTAAGCGGACAACCGGTAACGACGCTCCAGGAGCTTGCTGACCTCCTTGGCGCGGAGGAGTTTCTCTCGGGTGGTGGTCTAGGCAATGGTTTGCCGGCTGCTTTTACGACACAACGAGGCGGACATCAACATGGTGGAGGCGGCCAATCGCGTGAAGGAGGCGGCCGCAACTCCGACCAGAACACTAGACAGTCTCGCGGCTGTGTCGGTGGCCAGAACCGTGGCGGCGGACGGCGTGGTGGCGGCAGGAATGGAAACTGGTAGCCTAAATGCCAACTGTGTGGGGTACTTGGTCATACTGCGGTTACGTGTCATCTTCGCTATACTAAAGATCCCCAAGATCATATAGTATATTAGGACTCTCCTTCGACACCACTCAGGGTGTCCATACTTGGTTTCCAGACACAAGTGCAGCCAATCATGCTACTCTAGATATAGCCGCCTTTTCCACCTCGGAGGAATACAATGGTAATGACACTCTGCATGTCAGTGATGGTACGGATTTATCTATTAGTCATGCTGGCCAAGCTTCCTTTAATACACCTTCTAGGTCGTTTCAATTGTCAATTTCATGTTCCTACATTGTCTACTTCTTTGTTGTATGTTCAAAAATTTGCTTAAGATAATAAAGTGTTTTATGAGTTTCACCCCTCTTTTTTGTTGTGAAGGATATCAATACCAATGAAATTCTTCTACGGGGCATTAGCTCGGGGGGGGGGGGGGGGGGGGGGGGGGGGGAGCTATACGGCCTTCCAGTAACAAGTTCGTCTTCTTCCGCGTTTCTTTCCGCTCGTGCCCCTGCTTGAAATTGGCATAGTCGCTTGGGTCATCAACATCAACGTGCCCTTAGTCGTGTTCTTCAGTTTTGTTCCATTAGTGGATCTAGTAGTTCTATTCGTTATGATTCTAGTTTGTGCAGTGCATGTCAATTAGGAAAATCTGCACGTTTTCCTTTGTCTCGTGTTGAGTCTTTTAGTTCGAATATTCTTGATTTAATATACACTGATATTTGGGGTCCAACTCCCTTGTTGTCTGTTGATGGGTATTGTTACTTTGTTATCTTTGTGGATGATCACTCTCGATTCACATGGTACTATCCTATGAAACTAAAATCTGACATCTATGCTATCCTTGATAAATTTCGTGTCCTGGTTGAATGGTCATTTAATCGCAAGATTAAGTCCATTCAATCTGATTTAACTGAGTACAAAAAATTACACTCTTCATTTGTTCAGCTAGCGATTAATCATAGACAATCTTGTGCCTACACTCATGAAAAGAATGCTCGTGTCGAAAGGAATATTGTTGAAACTAGCTTGACTCTCTTGCCTCATGACTCCGTTCCAAATAAATTCTGGGATTTTGCTTTTGAGACGACTGTTTATTTGATAAATAGAATGTCTTCGGTTGTGTTAAATAACTCCAGTCCCCACCTTATGCTACATAAATCCCTTCGTCTTATTCTTTTCTTCGTGTCTTTGGATGTCTATGTTATCCCCATTTAAGACCTTAGAATCGTCACAAAATGTCCTACAGGTCTTCTCCTTGTGTCTTCTTAGGCTATCCAGAGTCTTTCCGGGGTTATAGGTGCATAGACTTACAGACTAACAAGGTTTATGTGTATAGGCATGTTCGATTTAATGAAGGGATTTTTCCCTTCGCTACTAAAAATATTTTGCAGGAACCATCAGCTAAACAAAACCAACCGTGGGCTGAGTCAATCCTTCAGCCTCATCCCACGGCTCCTACTTCTATTCGGCCTAACCAGCCCGCGCCAGCTCAGCCAGTTCTGCCGAACTAGACCAGGACAACCAGCCCAAGACGCCCGCTTCATCAGCCACACCCGCTGCCTCAACAATTGCACCCGCGGCTCATCCTCGTGGTCGACCACGTGAGCGGTTTACTTGCTCCATGGTTCGTTCTCATACCATGGCCACACGGAGCCAGTCTCAGGCTCCCCCTACGGTTCAAACTACACAGGTTTGTCTTACTGAACCTACATGCTACACTCAAGCGGTTAAATATCTAGAATGGCGTAAGGCAATGGATCAAGAGTTCAATGCTCTTCCT